AGGGACGTATGAGGAAATGATTATTGAGGCTAAGCTATGCAAATGTACCTCGTCACCTAATCATTGAATAACTGATGACAGGGTGAACATCGAGCAAGGGGATTCAAATTACCTTTGATGAAGCACTACTGGATCCAGGACATGGGACAAGTTCTGGAATCACCGAACTTGACTGGCGGCCTATCGTGAATGAAACGCGTATCAAATCGCACACATGAATCTTTGCAAGTGTTGCTTGCGCTTATAATGTGCCCAGCAGAAGTCTCAAAAGTCAGATGACTATGATGTGCCTCATGAGAGGGCACAACTTTTGAGTCGACTCAAAAGTCTCAAAAGTCAGATGACTATGATGTGCCTCATGAGAGGGCATGCCTCCCTGGCTAAACTTGCATCACTTGTTAACGATCTTAAATGGTCTAGTACTCACGGTAAATGACGTGCCCATTGTCTTCGAGCACAGGGATTCGTGCAAAGGGCTGAGGACGCACAGAAAATTGGGAAGGAAGAAGAGGGACAGCGACGGGAGAGGGAAAGAGATTGATGGAAGATCCGAGGAATGGCAAACCGGGGGAGGGGACAGCGAAGGGAACTTGGTTGGGGGATGAATGGGGTAATAGGAAACGGTAACAGTTGAAGAAAATTCGGAAATCCGAAATCGGCGTCTAAAAGACGGGAAGGAGCGCAAAAGGAAGAGAGCACATAGACAGCAACAAGACGGCTGATCTGATTGCCAGGTGAAGGTAAGGATGCTTCGTGAGCCGCCTCAAAGGTCACCAGATGAAGTGAATGGAGCTACTGAAAACTGCAAAAGTGAGTTCTTTCTTTGAAAGGGCAACGGTTTTGAGGTGGTTCAGGACTTGAATGAGTAGAAGCCACCTGAGCCTGAAGAAATCACGCAGGTGGGCTTCACACTCGACAAAATACCCAACGGCCAAAACTTTCACGTGCACCTTCGAGAACATGGCTCAGCTGTAGATCCCCATCCACCTATGTGCTGAGAATTGAAGATTTGCCAGCAGGATTTTAATGGCCGTGAATTCCTGAAATTCATTGGTAGATTCAACAGCACTGTTTGAACGGAATAAAAAGGCCAGCAGTTTCGCATGCTAACAGTTTTACCTATATCTTGAGGAACTCGGGTGTCTTGGTGTAGCCTGTGAGTGGGCTGACAGGTATGTGCATGAAATCCTGTACGAACGGGTTGCAAGTAAATACAATCTATGCGGCTTGAAATGTAACTGGGCTGACAGGTATGTGCACGAAACCCTGTACAGATGCATGCATTGATGGATAGATGGATGGATGGATCGAAACGCAAGAGATCTCATGGCTGCGTGAGCCGACGATATGATCGGGCACTTGTGAAAGCGCATTTCCCACCTCAATGCAGCTGGGAATGCCTACTATCGATCCTCAGTTGCCGCACGTCGTCGCAATGCCTGACCCTAATACACAACTTCCATTTGCGTGTAGAAAAGTGATTTGCTCTTCATGCATACGCTCAGCACATTCTGAAATACATTTCCTACACTCGACCAGTCCTGTCTCGTAGGAAACACCTCCACTCCCGTCTCGTATAGCGTCAGATTTCTCGCGTTCACACTACGTCAATTTATGAAACATTTTCCCTGGTCGTCGTACCTCCACTCCCATCTCGTAAAGCGTCATGATCACGCGTCGCGTGTATGGCGAGATCGCCGTGCCGTGAAGCACCAGTTTTGACATATCGACCGTCCGATTTCACGGCGGCTGCTAAACGGACGGATGGTATGGGTTGTCAGAGATAATATCGGTCGTACGAATCTCGGTAGCGTGGCTAGACTGACGCGCTAAGTAGTCTGCCTGCTCAGACAACTAAAGGAATGTCTCCTGGTTGACCAGGGAATTCCGAAAGATAATGGCACAATAATTTATGGAAATACCCTCCATAAGCATGTTTCCGAAATACGTAACACGCGTCCAAATGCAGTTAGCTTAAGTCCAACTAGAGCCATTTTTTTGTCATTTTAGATTTCGTTGATATCTTCCCAGTTATATAGGGACGGGTGACGTCAGCACATGCCGCCCCGCCCACCCTGGCACAAAGGGATTTCGGGGCAAATGCGAAAACCCTCCAAATCCCTCCGGTCCCCCCGAAAATCCCCCCTGACCAGGCAAAAAAACCCTCCAAATCCCTCCGTTTCAATGTCGGATTCTTATGCGCATATATATGTCAGCCGCACTGTTGCAATTTCGGGGACATTTATCGAGCACTGCTCGACGGACATTGGCCAATCGTCGTCGAGCACCGTGCACACCCAACAAGATGGGTTACAGCGCCTCACGTCGCCATCGACGTCGCCTGACAGGCCTCGCTGACGGTCGACGTGAGTGGTAACGGGTTTCGCAACCGGCCGTCCGTCACAATCGACGGCGCCGTCAATTGCGGTCGACCGATCACTTTGACGGTCGAGCGAGACGTCGCTGTCGGACGGGCGACGGGTTACGTGTGTCGCCATCAAATGGGTCACGACACCAGATGACGGCCACGTCAAGGGACAAGGCCCAGATGTCATCCGTAAGCAAAGGGTTATCACCCCAACCACGGAATAAATGAAATCCTAAACTGGTTTAATCAGTAAGGTCGTCTTTGTCTGTTAGGCCAACGGTTTAGGGTGCTGAGAGCTTTCTGTTAGGCACTTATGGAGAACGATCCGTTAAGGACAACGCCTTTCCGGCAGGCAGAGGAGAGACCGCTACCTGTCGACGTTGAAACCATCTCGACACAACCCCCTAGGACGACACAAGCCATACCGGGCTCGTCACAAGCCATGCCCGAGCCTTTGAACGGAGCTATGGCGCCCCTCACCTTGCCCTCGTCGTCGGGCGGACCAGGTGCGGCGTAGCGGAGCACCCTGGCCTTTTTCGCCTTCTCATGGCGACCAGCAACGACGGTAGACGCCGCTTCGACAGGAGCTTGGCCAGGGAGGCTGACCAGTTCCACCACGTCACCGCTCTCTGTCGCCCCTGCACCGCGCTTTGGCAACTTCCTCGACGCCTGCCTTTTCCTCGACGCAGAAGGGGAGCCGCGTGGAGCATGAGGAGGGGACGCCGGTTTGCTAAGGTGGACGTCGCCTAGGGCGGGAGCAATGACAGGAGCAACGGGAGGGGTAGAGGAAAACGCCCTCTTTCCCACTGGCTCGACAGGATGGCCAACAACACCGAGCTGCAAAGCAGTATCGGCCGTTGTCTTCGACAGCAACCCACCAGCGATGACGACCTGGCTGGGAGCACCCCGTGTCTCCCCCGCTCCTTTCCCTGCAGCGCTGCCTGACGGGGTAGGGGCACCTCGATTTCCCATGGCTCCTTTCCCGGCTGAGGCGACGGACTCGATAGGGGCACCACTTTGCTCCCCCGCAACCAATCCTTTCCCACCCTTTTTCCCGAGGCCCGAAAGCATGTCCCGCAGCGGAGCAAAAGCATCAGTCGGAGGCTTCGGTGCTGCTTCGGTGGTCTTCTGAGGGGGCGACTGCTCGAGTACGATGACCTCGTTGTCCTCGACGGACTTGCCGACGTGATGACGGGCACGCGACGGTGGGGATGCTACCGGGCTGCCAACATGTCCTCCCACCGAAGAAGGAGGAACCGAGCGCTCATGAACTCGACGCTCACCCCCGCTGCGAACACCAGCCACACCTCCGAGCGACCTGACGCGACCTCGTCGACGGGCCCGCCGAGCGCTGAAACCCTCTCGCCATCGCTTCGGTGAGGACTTCCAATCTCCCAGCTTCAGCTTCTTGGTAGCCTTCTCTCACAACGTCCTTCAGCACCTTCATGCTCTCGGGCGGGATGGCGGAGTAGAACAAGTCCTCCTTGACGGCTTTCTTGATACCCTGCGCGACCGAAGCAACCAGCCGCTCCTCGACAAGCTTAAGCTGCTTCTCGACGGCGTCCTCGCTCGCTTTTGCGTTAGCGGCTGCCACACCCTCGATGATGTTCCTGCTCATCTCGTCGAGCTTCGTGCGGGCCCCTTCCAACATTTTCCTCTCCTCCGTGACACCGTTAACGGCGTCGCTGCACTGCTTCATCGTGCTCCTCGACGACTCCGAAATCGTATTCCAGGCCGTCCGGAAATCCCCGGCAAGCTTATTGAAAACAGCGGCTTGCTCACTGTGCTTCGCAAATATGTCAGCGACGAGCTTCTTCTGCGACGCCTCAACCTCCGCGACCCTCTGCAGTAGCTCGACGACCTGGCCTCCGGATGCAATGGTCGTCGTCGATTGGCCTGCCGTCGAATGGCGCTTGGTCGAAGGGCCCGCCTGTCCGCTGCCACTGGCCGTGCGGTGTCTCCTCCTTACTGTGACCTGTCCTCGACGACACTCCTGCGCAGCCTCCCCGCCCTCCTGCTCCTATCCTCCCGCCCCACCCTCCTGCGCAGCCGCGACGCCCTCCTGCTGCTGCCCACCGACCCCACCCGCCTGCGCAGCCGCCACGCCCTCCTGCTGCTGCCCTCCTGCCCCACCCACCTGCACAGCCGCCCCGCCCACCTGCTGCTGCAATCCCGCCCCACCCTCCTGCGCAGCCGCTCCGCCCTCCTGCTCCTCGACAGCCCCATGGTCCCCCGTCGCCTCCTGCTCGATATGCTTCACCCGCTCGTCCACCCGCTCCCCGAGCACCACTCCGTGCTCCTCCGTACGCTCCGTCCCACCTGGATGTTCTCATGCGCCCTCGCCGTCGTGCTCGTCCGACTCATCGCTCGAGCTCGAGTCGGAGCTCAATTCCGAGCTCGAGCCCTCGTTCTCGTTCGAATGGCCGCCTGCTCCGCTCACCCCGTGCTGAGCTTGCCTCGATGTATCCTCCTCGATCTCCTCCTCCTCCTCTAAGGTGTACTCAACCACGACGCGTGGTGCCCCGTCGCCTTCTCCCTCGTGTTCGGCACCCACTCCCACTCCCACTCCTACTCCCTCCGCCACATCGTCCATCTTGTCCCACAACAGTTTGACCATGAACAACGGAAGCATACCCGGGCCAGGGCTCGTTCTCCCGAGCATCACGAGGTCGCCCTGTCGAGGCTGCAGGATGAAATCATCCCACTTCGTCAGAATCCGGCGCACACCATGCACGACACGAGTTGCCGCGCCGGGTTCATTGGGGCTCGTCAGGGGCGTCGTCGTCTGCGACGGGTATAAAACACATGTAAGCGACAGAACAACATGCTCGACAAAAACATGCACGAGTAAGGGTGGGGGTTGGCTTACCAGATGATCGAAACTCTTGATCATTTACAGACGCATGTCGAGGAGGCTAAGCACCCCCTGCTCGTGCTCGGTGACAACCCGCCGGTCGTCGCGTACTCGGCGCGAAGCTGCCGCTTCATCCAACTGCAAATCAACGGACAGGAGAGTAAGAAATTGTCGAGAACGGCAAGTCGACAGCAGGGTGGCAAATCGGTGACTCACTCGAGAACTTCGTTCGCCAGCGAAGATTGGTGGTTCACCGCGTCGAACCTGTCTTTCGAATCAAAGTGCATCATTCGACAGCCATGGTGCCTCGGAGCCAGCAGATCGTCGGGGCGCGATACCACAAACAGGCTCGAATGGGAGAACGGCGCCACTGTGAGGATCTAGGATCGAGCTCAGAAAAGAGAATGTGAATTGAATGATCACCTGGGTACAACACGAGGCTATATATAGGCTCGACACAAGGCCCAGTAACCAGGTGTTACGCGAAGGTTCCGTGGGTCGCGAAGCGTCCCGAACAGATCCTTCCCGAATTCGGTAGAAGGTAATTCGGTGGCAACCAAAAAGCCAGAATTCGGTGCACGCAACCTAGCTCGGTGCTATAACTATAATAAAATATAGGAAAGCACCTAGCCTAGGAAATCAAGCAATTCATGCATGCATATAATTATCCTATGCTAGAAATAGCATAATAAAGTAAAGGCAAGCAAGCATAGCTAGCATAAGCCGTCGTACTCTCACACGTCCCCCCCTCAAAGCTGGGTGGCGTGAGAAACACCCTGCTTGACAAGATCGTCCTTGAGAGCACGGCGTGCGTTGCCCATATCAGCTTCTGCAACCCAACTGTCCTCGTTGGGGTCGTATCCCTTCCAGCGTATCAGGAACTCGAGGGTCTTGCCACCGCAGCGCCGATGAGTGAGAACGCGCTCCACTTCGTACTCTGGTTCATCCTGTACGAGAACAGGTGGTGGTGGCGGTAGCTGCCGTCCCTGGAATTGTTGGTTGGGGTCCTTGTAGGGCTTCAGTAGCTGAACATGGAAAGCGTTGTGAAGCTTCCATGCATCTGGTAAGCGCAAGCGGAATGTAACTGGTGTCACCTGTGCCTCAACGAGAAAAGGACCACAGAAGCAAGGCCGGAGTTTGGATGGGAGGTGAGACAGTTTCAAGTTGCGCGTGTCAAGAAGCACCTGATCTCCGACTGCTACTGAGTGATCACGTCGCTGACGATCGGCATACTGCTTCTGGGAGGTCTGCATCGTGGTGAGTCGTCACTGAGTCTTCTCCCATAGCTGCTGCATGGTGGTGACGAAGTCATGTGCGGCTTGGACGTGTGCCGGTGTGGTTGGCTGCTGTGGTGTGAGTGGTTCCCGTCCGTAACACAGGAAGAAAGGAGTTTTCCCTGTGGCCGCATGTGATGCGTTGTTGTAAGCAAACTCTAGGGTCGGTAACTGTGTGTCCCACTGGCTGACGTCGTCCTTGCAAGCTGTGCGCAGTAACTGTTCAACCACTTGATTGAGTCGCTCTGTCTGTCCGTCAGTCTGGGGGTGGTATGCTGAAGACAATGCAAGCTTTGTCCCCAACAGTCCCATGAGCTCCTTCCAGAACTTACTGGTGAATTTTGGGTCTCTGTCTGAGATGAGTGTAGCGGGGATGCCGTGGATGGTGATGATGCGGTCGAAGAAGAGGCGAGCGGTTGCTTCAGCTGTAGCTGTGGCGTTGGTCGGTATGAAGTGACCCATTTTGGAGAACTTATCGATTATTACGAGGATGGAATCGTGCCCCCGTGAGGTCGAAGGAAGTCCTGTGATAAAGTCGAGGCTAACGACCTGCCATGGCTGCTCCGGTACGGGTAGAGGCTGAAGTAACCCTGCTTTTTTCTGCTTGCTGCTCTTCATCCGCTGGCACGTGTCGCATGAGGTGACGAACTGCTGCACGTCTGCTGCCATCCCGGGCCAGTAGTAATACTTCGCTATCCCTGCTAACGTCTTGTTGCTCCCGAAATGTCCCGCGTAAGGTACGTCGTGAAACTCCTCCAATAGGATCTGCCGTAGCGGGGCGTAATTCGGTACCCAAATCTTTCCTGAACCCTTCCTTACAGCTAAGTCTTTCTCCCACTGTAACAGCTTCTTGGTCTGTGCTGTAGCAATCTCTGCGTCCACGGAGTACCCATGTTGGAATAGACCCTTGAGCAGAGGGTTCATCCCGTCGAGCTGGATGTCTGCTACATGTCCGGGGCGGCTCAATGCGTCTGCTTTGTTGTGTAGCCCGGGCTTGTAGACGATGTCGTAGTGGAAGTGAGGTTCCAGGAAGTCCACCCACCGCACCTGTCGCCGTGAGAGTGTCGGCTGCGACTTCAGGTATTTGAGACTGCAGTGGTCAGTGTATACTGTAGTCTTGGCTCCCTCTAGGTAACACCTCCACGCCTTGAAGGCTATGACTATCGCTAAGGCTTCCTTGTCATGGATGGGGTAGTTCAGTTCTGCTCCGTGTAGCTTCTTACTGAGGTAGGCGATGGGCTGCAAACCGCGTCCGTGATCCTGCATCAGTACTGCTCCGACTGCTTGGTCACTAGCGTCTGCTTCCACCACGTAGTCCCTGTCTGGATCCGGTAAGATGAGTACCGGCGCTGTAGTCAGTGCTGTCTGTAGCTGTTCCATGGCTTGCTGATGAGGAGTATCCCATTTGAAGGGCGTATCCTTTTTCAGTAGGTCGGTCACGGGCGCTGTTATCTTTGCGTACTGCGGCACGAACCTGTTGTAGTAGTTGGCGAAGCCTAGGAACTGCTGCAACTCCTTCACGTTCTCCGGTACTTTCCACTTCTTGACGCTTCGATCTTCCGCGGGTCCACGTGTACGCCGTCGGCACTCACCATGTGCCCGAGAAACTGCACCTTCTTCAGGGCGAAGTCGCTCTTCGAAAGCTTTACGTAGAACTTGTTTTTCCGCAGGATCTCGAACACCTTCCGCAGATGCTCCACGTGCTCCTTCATGTTCTTGGAGTAGATGAGAATGTCGTCCAGGTACACCACCACGCACTCGTCCAGCAGAAACGTAAGATGTGATTCATCTCCGCCTGAAACGTTGCTGGTGCGTTGCAGAGTCCGAACGGCATCACCAAGTATTCGTAGGAGCCGTATCTGGTACGGAACGCCATCTTGTGGATCGAGTTGTCCGCCATCTTGATCTGCTAGTAACCCGACCGTAGGTCCAACTTCGAAAAGATTGTTGCATTGGTCGAGTAGGTCGTCTATGCGCGGTATGGGGTATTTGTTTTTAACTGTCTGTTTGTTCAATGCACGGTAGTCGATGCACATCCGTAGACTGCCGTCTGGTTTTGGAGTGAAGAAGACTGGTGCACCGTAGGGAGAGGTGGATGGGCGAATCAGTTGTCGGTCCAGTAGATATTCTATATGTTTCTTCATGTCTGTCAGTTCGGTCGGACTCAGACGATATGGTGCACGTGAGACGGGTTTCGCACCTGGTTCCTCCACGATCTCGTGCTCGTGGGTGCGTGCTGGAGGTACTCCTGCGGGTAGGTCGTCGGGCATTATATCTTTGTACTGCTCCAACACCTCCTTTACTGCTGCAGGTAGCTCCGAACTCGGCTTCTCCTCCTCTGCTGCTGCCATAACCAGTGCTAAGTATCCCGTGTTACTCTCGTTCACAGTCCGTTCGAACCGTGCCAGTGTCGTTTCAGCAACGCTCCCTGTATCCGTCCAGCTTCGCAGCTCCACTCGTTTCCCGTTGTTGTAGATGCACGCCTTCCTGTTGACCCAGTCGATCTCGGGGTTGAATCGCTTCAAGAAATCTCGCCCCAAGATGAAATCTAAGCCCTTGATGTTCGTGATCGGCAACGTCGGCTTCCACCTCAGCGCCCCTATGTGCAGCTGCAATGATGCTTCGCCGTGGATGGGAAGTTTCGTACCGTCCACCATCGTTGCTGTGAACTTGGTCTCCTCCGAAGATTCTCCAATTTTCTCCAATGTCCCGCGGTCGCACACCGAGTGAGATGCACCGCTGTCCACCAGTGCCTGGAGGCGTCGCCCGTTGCAGATCACCTCGAGTAGTAGTGGTTGCTGCTGCTCCGAGTAACCGTAGATGGTATCGCTTATAGGATCGTAGGGTACGTCGAATAGATCATCCCTCGGTCCTGCGCTCGAAGCTGCTGACTCCATATCAGTTTTTTACTGAGTTGGGTTAGAAGGATTTGTCCGAGGCCGATTCAGCTTCGTCTTGGCCTGGAACCTTCCCTTAAGCCTTTGCAGCTGTGTAGGCTTCTCCTGTGGGCAATGGGGAGCCTTGTCAGAATTTTATGTTTGTCTAGCCTGCAGTGGGGTACTCAATAGTGAGTACAGCCCAATTTAGGGTTTGCTATATGTACTCAACTGCTTGCTAGTGAACCTCCACTCTTCTTCATTCCTCATTATTTCACATGCTATCAGAGCATCTACGCTCCTGGCCTGTGGGCCCACCTAACTGCTTCCGCTGCTACTCTGTCTGCTGCACGCCCCGTGGCGTGCGACCGCATTTTCCTTCTCGGCCCCTCTCGGCCCCTTCGCGGCCCCGTTGCCGCCCTTTCAGGCCCCTCGTGCGGCCCCTTCGCGGCCCCGTTGCCGCCCTTCTAGGCCCCTCGCGGCCCCTTCGCGGCCCCGTCGCCGCCCCTAACGGCCCCGTCGCCGCCCTTCTCGGCCCCTCGCGGCCCCATCGCGGCCCGTCGCTGCCCTTCCAGGCCCCTCGCGGCCCCTTCGCGGCCCCTTCGCGGCCCCGTCGCCGCCCCTAGCG